GGAGAGGGAGCCTCACATGTCACTCCCTGATTTGTTACACTATTACTTTCAAACCTAATGTGTGAATGATGATTTCTCTTAATATAAAAATAAAATTTAAAAGATTAAAAAAATCAACACAATAGCAAGAAGCCTCATCTATTTTACACTAAAGCCAACATGACAGTAAACCTGAAAGGAAAATTGGAAAAGAATATTCTTGTACTGGCATAATTTGCATTTAAAGTTGGAAAATTTTTATTACCTAACCACATAAATTATTAAGAATGCTTAGCATTCAACCCCCCAATAATACCGAATACAATATAATTCATTCTATTTTGTACTTCAAAATCACCAGGATGACATCCATGTGATAATTATAAAGCCTACTCTTCTGGTCCTCAAACATAGATTAGGACAGGTCACTTTATTGCTGGCAGCACTCATGGAGGGCCTGGTCCCTCATAAGGGCAAGGCAGATTGGGAGGGAGCTGGGCAGTGCCCTTCTCACACACCAAGGAAAACAAGAGATTGGCTGACTGTTGAGTGGCCCTGCATTAGTGTGCATAGCTCACCAGGATCAAGGTGACATCTGTGAACACTATCTTCATCAACTTGCTTATTTGTTTGCTTTTGGAGACAAGGTCTACTATGTAGCCCCCGCTGGCTTGGAGCTCACAAAGATCCATCTGCCTCTGTTTCCCAAGTGCTAGGATTAAAGGCATATTCACCACACCTGGCAAAAACCACTTTTATTAACATACATTATACATGGTTCCATAATAATGGGTTGGATTATGGCATTTTCATGTAGTCTGAGCACATTCACTCCTGTCACCCTGTTTTGTCTTTCCCTCTCCCACTGGTCCTCCTCCCTCTCACTCCCACTGGTCCTCCTCCCTCTCACTCCCACTGGTCTCCCCTCCTTCTCACTCCCATTGATCTGTCTCTTCCCAGTTAGTCCCTCTCTACTATCATGTCTTTTTTTTTCTTTTCTTTTTCTGTACATGACATGATGAGTTTCATCAAGGTTGCTTACCAGGGCATCTTAACCAGTGGCTACACCACTGAAGAAAATGTTTCTTCCTTAGCAACATTTATGTGTATTTTAAGACACGTATCTATCTCCTTTCTGCTGTCTCAAAGCTCACTCAATAGTGCCTTGCTTCCCTCAGTGTTTAAAGATTTAAAAAAAAATGTAATCTAGCCAAGCATGGTGGTACACACCTTTGATCCCAGCACTTGACAGGCAAATCTCTCTGAGTTTGAAGCCAGCCTGGTCTACATAGGGAGTTCCAGGCCAGCTGGGGCTACATAGTGAGACCCTGTTTCAAAAAAACATTGTAGTCTATTTCTTGTTACTGAAACTTTATCTGATGGAATGCTTTGAGGCTGTAGCTGAAATTGGGGTTCTATAGAAATGACTTGTTCTTGATCAGGTTCCTAGAGACATTGCCAGGCTATTTAAATTTTCAGCTTGAGTCTAGGTTTTAGTCTGCTCAATATGGAGTCATAGCATGGGAGCAGTACTCAGCATTACATATTCGCCAAAGAATTCTCTCCTTTTCTCCCTAATATCGGTAGGTTTCCTAACAGTCTTGGGACTTAAGATATAAATAGAGAGTGCTTTGGTTAAATGTGACTGATTTAGAAAATTATTTTTACTAATTACAGAGTTAGAGGAAACTGAATATACACAGGGCAGTGGTCCAGTGTGATCTTTACATACTTTCCTTCAATGATTATAGTAGCTAAAATACATCAAAATTGGCACTGTGTGTGTTTGTTTGTGTGTGTGTGCAGGTGTCTGTGTGGGCACACATACTCAACTATGGAGGTCAGAGGAAAACTTGTAGGAGTCAGTTCTTTCCTTCCACCAAGTGGGTCCCAAGTGGAATTCAGGTTGTCAGGCTTGGTGCCAAGTACCTTTTCCCACTGAGCCATTCCACTAATCCTACAAAAAAAGCTTTTATGAGCCTCTGTGAATAGATTATGATTATCTATCTATCTATCTATCTATCTATCTATCTATCTATCTATCTATCTGCTTTCGTTGTTTCATTTCTTGACAGAGGGTTGCACTTTGTAGCCCAGGTTGTGGCACGGAACTCACTGTGTAGCCCAGGATGGCTTCAGATTCATGGCAATCATCTTGCCTCAGCCTCTCAAGTGCTGGGATGCCAGGTGCTGGAGCCACATTTAGCTGCTTTTCTTAAATAATGCCCAGGAGTGTAATTACTGGTTTACATGGCAGAGGTACACATACATGGGTCAGTGGGTAAAGATGCTTGCCACCAAGCCTGAGCTTGATCCCTGGGACCCACATGATGAAAACAGAAATCTGAAAGTTGTCTTCTGACCTCCACAGATGTACCATGTGCCCACACACATACACACAGCACACATAAATACATACTGTGACTTAAAAATGTAGTTGCTGCTAGGCATGGTGGCATACAGCTGTGATCTCAGTATCAGGCACTGATGGGAGGCTTAAGAGCTTGGGCCATTCTGGGATTATACAGTATTTTTAGTAAGTACCTAGCCATGAGTAAACAGTTGTTGCTCTTATATTACTGTTTTATTTTATTATATTTAAAAATATTTTATTATTTTGTTTTATGTGTATATTTTGTATTATTTTGTTTTAAGTGCCTTCATGTTTGTGAGTACATCCATGTCGTGCAATGTCCTTGGAGGTCAGAGAGGATACTGGGTCTTCTGAAAGTGGAGTGATGGATGGTTGTTAGGCGCCATGTGGGTGCTGGAAATTGTACCCAGGTCCTCTGTAAGAGTAGCCAGTGCTCTTAACCACTGAGCCATCTCTCCAGTCCCCTTCATTATTGTTTTATAACAACTGTCAAAAATTCATTAAGATGTCAGTGTTCAGAGACTTAGAACATGGCAGGGCTGGGATACTATTAGGGCTGTGATTCTGAGCACATGCTTTCTCCTATACCACATGATTTTCCTTATCTTCATTAGAAAGTATTTAGAGATGCAAAAAAGAAACAATAATTTACAAGTCTTTCATGTATTTATCTCTTTACTATGTAAATGATCCAAAAATAAAACCAGACATGAGCCAGGTGTCGCACACGCCTTTAATCCCAGCACTAGGGAGGCAGAGGCAGGCAGATCTCTGTGAGTTCAAGGTCAGCTTGGTCTACATAGCTAGTTCCAGGCCAGCTGGGGCTATGGGGAGACCCTGCCTCAAAAAGACCAAATAAATAAATAAATAAATAAATAAATAAATAAATAAAAATCAGACATGATGGCACATATCTATAATCTCTGTACTCAGGAGGTGGAGGCATGAGAATCAGAAGTTAAAGGTCAGCCTTGTCTATTTAGTGAGTTCAAGGCCAGTCTTGGCTATATGAGATTCTGTCTCAAAACAAAACAAAAGAAAAACAAACAAACCAAACATCCCACAAATATTTAAAACCTGGTCTCAAGCTCAGGCCCATGAGCAATGGAATGCTGGATCTCATATAGTCCTAACTGGTGACGCGCCTCAAGAGCAAGTTAATGGTGGTAGTTTAATAGACTTCTGAATCACAAAGACCTGAATTTGATTGCCTCCACCTCCTGGGATCCATCCTACAGATGTGTGCTGAGCTTCTTAACACCGATGGTCTTCCATCCCTGGTTTACGTTAAATAGAGAGTAACAGCAACAGCAACATCATCTTCACAGTAGGAATATGGAGATACTAAGACAGAGCCTGAAACATGTATAGCATGCTCCCCAAAGGTAGCTGTCACTATTAGCTGATTTTTTTTTTAAAGACAGGGTCTCACTATGTAGCCCAAGCTGGGCTGGAGCTCCCACAGATCTGCCTGCCTCTGCCTCCAGAGTGCTGGGATCAAAGGTGTGTGTCACTATGTCCAGCTTTCTTTCTCTTATTAGTTCAGTGGATGAGCAGTTAGTATTGTGTGTGTGTATGAAAGAAATAGACAGCAATCATCCTGCCTAACAATAAATAGGGCATTAAATAAAAAGAAAACTAAATTATGTTCCTTAGAGTCCAAAAGTTATTATTTTAAAAATATTTTATTTATTTTTATTTTATGTATATGAGTATATTGCCTGCATGTAGGTAGGTGCAACCATGTCGTGCAATGCCTGAGGAGGTCAGAAGAAGGTGTTGGATCCCCTGGAACTGGAGTTATAAATGGTTGTTAGCCATGATGTGAGTGCTGGGAATCGAACCTGGATCCTTTGCAAGAGTTGCTGGTGCTCTTAACCACTGAGCCATCAATCCAGCCCCTAAAAGTTATTTAAAGCAGGCATTTCTGTCACAATTAGCTCATCCCCTGTTCATCTCAGGCTACAGAGACCCTGGAACTGTCACTCTGAAAACCTCTGAAGTTAGCTCAAGTGTCTTGGTGTTTATAACCAGACGACCTGTGTATTTCTGGTTATGTAGAGAACTTTTTTATTTTTCTCTCTCCCACAAAGAAGAAAATATTTTAAAAAATGTTCCTTTTCACTGGTTTATAAATATTTTTCAGGGGTTTTAAAAAATTGTATTTATTATTTATATTTTATGTGTACACATGTATTGCCTGCAGGTAGGTAAGTGCACCGTGTTGTGCTATGCCCTTGGAGGTCAGAAGAGGCTGTCAGATTCCCTGAGACTGGAGTTATGGACAATTGTTAGCTGCCATGTGGGTGCTGGGATTTGAATCTGGGTCTTCTGCAAGAACAACCAGTGTTCTTAACCACTGAGCCATCGCTCTAGCCCCCCCCCTTTTCTTTCTTTCTTTTTTTTAAATAAAGAGGTAAGACAGAGAAATAAATACATAAAATGGGGGCAGAAATATAACTTAGTGGCAGGCCTCCTGCCTAGCATGTGCAAAGCCCTGTATTTGATCCCCAGTACAATCAATCAATCAATCAATCAATCATCCATCAATCAATAAGTCAATATTTTAAAAGAAATCTATAAAAGGGTTCCCCTCCTCTACCAATGACTGGGAAGATGTGATTATTTAGATTCAGACTGTAATTACCTTCTTCTTGTGTTCTTCCCCAGCCACTTACGAAACACATTGTGTTTTGGTTCAGTTTTTGGAAAACACCAAAAGGTAGACAAATAGGCTGAATATAGTCATTATACCTCACAGCTCTTTTTAAACGAAAAAGTGCAATATCATTTATGAATGTCTCCAGAATAAAGCCTGGCTGGATGAAGATGGCTTGAACTTTGACATTCCTAGTGTGGGAGTGGCTCCTAGATAGGTCATTGGTTCCAATCACAGCTCTCCACTTCAAAGGATTTCTGAAAGATGGAAAATATTCTTATTAAAACATGTTTGCTTAAATAATTTTCCTTGATTTCCCAGTAGATTTTATTATGTTAGATTAATAACAAAAGTTTTCATTGTACTTTCATATGACATAAAGCAAAAAATAAAAGCTCAAATTTCATGATGTAGGGGAGGAGAAAGATCAGTAGGACAGAAAATTTAGAAACAGATCAAATACATGAGAATAGATTATTAAGACAGCACAAAAAGAATGAAATTCAAAATATGATTTTGGAACAACTAGCTATTTGGAAAGAAAAATAAAATGAAATCTCTGGAACAACATAAGCCACCAAAGTAAACTCCAAAAGGATTAAAATTTTAAATGAAGCCGGGCATGGTGGTGCACACCTTTAATCCTAGCACGGGAGTTGTTTAGTAAGTTTAGTAAGTTTGAGGCCAGCCTGGTCTACATAGTGAGTTCCAGGCCAGCTGTAGCTACAAAGAGAGCCTGTCTCAAAAAAAAATTGGTAAAAACTTATAGAGTTGCTAAGTTACTATCGTTTTTTAATATTTTATTATTTTTATTTTATGTGTCTGAGTGTCTTGCCTGCATGTGAGTGCACCTGTGTTGTGCAATGCCCTTGGGGGTCAGAAGGGCTTTGGATTCCCCTGGAACTGGAGTTAAGGACAGTTCATAGCCGCCATGTGGGTGCTGGGAATCGAACCTGGGTCCTCTGCAAGAGCAGTCAGTGCTCCTAACTGCTGAGCCATCTCTCCAGCCCTAAGTCACTAACTTTTAGAGATATGCAAAGTGGTTGGTTTGAGATCTGCTTAAAAATAATTGGAATAGAAAAGTTAGGGATTTAGTACAGTAGTAGAATACTGCACAGGGCCCTGGGTATGATGCTCAGCAACACACACACACACACACACACACACACACACATACACACACACGAACATAGAAGAAGAACTGGTTGGAAACAGGAAGGGGAACAATACAAAGGAGAGAGCAGGAGAGGGCACTGGGAGTGAACATGGGCAAAATATACTATATACCTGTGTGAAAATAATGGAATCCTTGCTATGTGTCATTAAAAAAAGATCAGACATAAGTTAATAACTTGAAGCTGTGTGATGAACATGGGAATTCACTGAAATATTTTCTCTACTTTTATATTTTTTCAGAATATGCTAGAACAAAACATTCGAATATTAACATGAGAATTTCAAAAATTAAACCCAAAAGAAAATAAGTGAATATATAGCACTAACATAATTAAGGATTTGGCTTTTATTTTCCAAGCCAGAGTTTCACTTTGTTAGCTACTTTCTCATTGCTGTGATAATGCACTGACAAAATCAACTTACAGGAGGGTTCATTCTGGCTCACAGCTCCAGGACACTGTCCATCATGGCAGGGAAGCATGGAGGCTAGTGAGTGAGGTGGCTAGTTGCTTTGTATCAGATAACAGAGGGAAATGAACAGTAGACCTCAGTTTGCTTCTTGCTTCTTATTCTGTCCAGGAATGGAATGGTGTCACCCACAGTGAAGATGGGTCTTCCTACCCCAGTGAACCTAATGTAGACAATCCCTCACAGGCATGCCCAGTGGCATGAAATTATGTCTTAAATGTAAAACGAAATAAGGGGCTGGAGAGATAGCTCAGCAGTTGAGAGTATTGGCTGCTCTTGCGGAGGACCTGGGTTCAGTTCCCAGCACCCACATGGTGGCTGACAACTGTCTATAACTCCAGTTCCAGGAGATCCAACATCCTCTTCTGTCCTCCATGGGCTTTGCATGACACAAGTGCACCTACATACACACATGCAAAACACTCATACACACAAAAATAAAAAAAAAGAAATTTAAAGAAACTAAATAGATAAATGAGACTATAAGAAAAGTAGGTGCAGTCTGGAGGTGCTGGCAGAGCAGAGGAGCAGTCATAGCTGCTTTCCAAGGAGCCAGTGTTGCTGAGAAGTTCCATTGCTGCCCCAGTAGAATCAAGGGGGTTTCACTTTAGGGAGTCATGGGGCAGATATGAAATGTGAAAAGGGTCCTAGCTTTTTGATCTTTGAGGGGAAAAAAGGAAAGTAAGCCTGAAAAATCAGGTTCCCAAACTTTGCCTAAAAAGCAGTCCTGCTCTTTTGGATGCATTTTGTTCTTAATGTGGATTCAGGACAGAAAGAGAGTCTACTTTTTCAGGCAAGGCACACATTCTTGGTGATGGAAATCTTGCTCACACTTCCAATTGCCAAAATGCTTTGGAGCTTTTAACTGAATCTAAGAAAGTCCAAAATAGATTTGAGACTGTAAAGCCCCCTGCAGCAGCAAGGGGGATTCAGTGCTGTATTAGTTACTTTTCTGTTGCTGTGATAGAAACACTGACCCAAGCAATTTATAGAAGGAAGAATTTATTTGAGATTACGGTTCCAGGAGAAATTATGGTCCACCATGGTAGGGAGGCATGGTGGCTGGAGGTGGCTGGAGCAGGAGCAGCAGAAGTGAAGCTCTCACATCATCACACAGGCACAGGAAGCAAGAGAGTGACTGGCGATCTGGCAAGGCTTAAGAACTCTCTAAGCCCACCCCCAGTGACATGCTTCCTCTAGGATAGCCACACCTTCTAAAACCTACCAAAACAGTGCCACCATCTGGGGACAGAATGTCCAAACACTTGGAGCCTATGGGGGATATTTTTATTCAAACCACCACATTCCATCCCCTAGCCCCCACAGGCTCATGATTATATAAAATGCAAAATGCCTTTAGTCCAACTTTAAAAGTCCCATAGTCATTATCAGTCTCAATACTATTCAAAAGTCCACAGTCCAAAGTGGACTCAGGTAAATATCTTAACTGTAAGCCTCTATAAAATCAAAAGACAAATTACATACTCCCAACATACAGTGGAACTGAATACATATTACCATTCCAAAAGGGAGGAATGGAGGCATAGTAAGGAAATACTGGACCAAAACAGGGCAAACACCAAATCCAGTTCTTCCACGTCCAACTTCTGGGACTTTCCTTCCAAAGGGCTTAGATAGCTCAGCCTCTCTAGCTTTGCTGTGTGCAACATACATCTCTGTCTTGTGCTGGTACCACTCCCTGTGTGCAGGTCTTCTTGTCAGTTGCCTCACAGCTCTGGCATCACAAACTTCTTGGGGTCTCCATTGCCAACCAGGCTTCACCTTCACAACTTCACGTAATGGCCTATCAGGGCCTTCTTATGCAGGGGTATCCCCGCTTCATGCTGCCTGGCCTGCAAGGTTCTGTGAAACCTCGGGGGAAGAATTGACGACCCCTTCATTCTTCCACATTTCATGCCTCTAAAGCCAGCACCAGGTGAACAACACTGCAAAGTTTGACTGCAAGTTTGGGATGGACCCCAGCCTGCTTTATCCATTTTAGAAGTTTTCCTCTTCAGTGGCCCCTGCAGCATTTTCCTTTCACAAGTTGGAGGCTTAACTGGGTGTGGTCTTGCCGTGGAGGCAGTCTCTCCATTGTTTAAGTTTGAATCTCTAGGCCCCTCCTTAATCACTTTGATCTCCTTATCAATGGAATCCTCTGCATCACATGCCCAGGCTTCAACATTAATCTTCCTAGTACTTTTTTTCAATCCATCCTGCATATTCTGTATTTTTTTCTGCCCCATTTATTCTTTTTCACTGTAAATCTGCATAATATTCACCATTAACAGCCATGCCACTGTTTCTACATTAGGCTGTCTTGAAATTTCTTCTGCCAAAGAAATTAGTCCGTTGCTCTTCAACTTAGGCTCAGGCAAGCTTTTTAGTCTAGGGCAGACTCCAGCCAGACTCTTTGCCAAAATATCCCAAGTGCTGCTTAAGTCCTTATTTCCCTCTGGAACTACATTGTTCTCAGCACTGCTTTCTTCCAGGTGTTTACTAGAATGGCCTGTTGAGCTCTGCTTACAGCAAGCAACCGCTTTTCTAGCCCAAACTTCCAAAGTGTTCCACATTTCTTCAAAACCCCACATGGTCAGGTTCTT